GGAACGGACGGTCCCGAGACAGATGTCAAGGAGGATAGCGGCGAGTTACAACATGAACCTCCGTCAGTGGAACCATTCGGGGTGGGGCAAACAGTAGAAAAAGTGGGGGTATTGTTTGGGGGGTGGGTGAGAGTGTTTCGTGCAGATGTTGAGAGAAAGGTTTACAGAGGTGTAATAAACTGTGACATGCGTGTGTTTGTATGTCCAAAGTCCATGGTTAGTTAGTTAACTAACTCTAGACACCCAACCCCAAACATATTGCGTCTTTCGGAGGCGGTCTACTTGGACAATTGAAATCAATCAAAACACTGTCGTATATATGCTGCTAGTTTAGGAAAGTCGACACACGTTTTCCACGATTTTTGTCCAATAGACGAACGCCAATAAAACAATCGCCTGATCACGTATTAGTTGTTTTTAAGTCATCTGTATAGTTTCGACGTCAGTGACTGAGTATTACGGCGTTTCACGGAATCTCCCCTAATATAAGCTGGTCATGAAGCTTTTCTCGTACGACTCTCATAATTAATCCTAAACGGGAATTGCTTTTCAAATTTATTTTTCCAAATCGTTACTAATATGCATAATGAGCACTGAGCGTATTAGCGTGTTGAAGTTCTTCACTATAAACCGGTACTGCTCTTTAGTGTATGATCTAATGTGAAAGCCATTTTAGTGGAAAAAGTGCCGCGGTCAACTATTCTTATTTGGCTGATGTTCAATTCTGTTACCATTTGTCTCAGTATTTTTGATCTAGTTAACGTTTTTATCTGATTGTAAGCCTTAGATGAGGCTCCCATTATCCCTTGCCCACATTATATGATACCAATAAAACAACGTAATTTATCTGGGATTCCAGACCATCGGTCCAAGCCGTCTATGCTAATTGGACTTCCGTCCGGCGAAGGAGCATCACTGCATGTCTCACTTACCCCGTCTACTCAACCGGGTCATCGTCATCGACGACGACGAAAGCACGAATCATCACAACCCAAAGAGGATGGGGCCAAACCACAATGTGAGCAGTTTCATGTATTTTCTCGATGGTTTGTACACGGCGCCTTCATTTTGCATGATTTAGTGGGGAATATTGAAAGAAAATGTTATGGGTGAAAATCACATTATTTAAAAAAATAATTTGTTTACTTCACTGTTAGTATAATAAGTAATAAAAACATGCAGTATAAAGGTAGTTTTGTTTAGGCTTGATTCGATTTTTAACTTAATCAAATCAATTATCATGTGTTTTCGTTAGCCCATTTAATCTATCCAGGATCCGGGCTCTACGTGTGATCTTGGATTTGAGTTTCAATCCTTACGTGATTTTCCTCAATTATGAATGTATTTTATTTGTGATTGACTTCTTTGGTGATCGACGAAAAGTAAAGGTAGCTCTGGCATACTTGTTTAGATTCATCATCGGTGCATTTATTGTTTTTCTGCCGGGATTCGAATTACAGACATTCGGGTTGTTTGTTGAAATCTATACTCCTAAGCTATATGATCATCAAGCCACATTTTTATTATCCGAATGCATGTGCACCTGTGCAAGCTATTTATCTTCATCTTTTCTAGCGACCGATCCAAGTGAACACGTGATGTTTCTGCTGGGGGAAGGTGATGGCGAAGAGGGACAGGCACATCAATTGTTTTGTGAACTGGATGAACTGTGGCATGATGCTACCGGTTCGGGAGAAACGGAATGGCGTGAAGCCGCTCGGTGAGTATGCATGTCTTGTATTGTCACAAAGTGAAACCAGTGGAATGTTATTCGGCAACTCGCTTTTTCCTAACTTTCAATGATATTCTGTTTGATTCACTCACATCATAGTATTGTTCTGGTGCATGATGGCTGTTCAGGGAATGATCTGTTTCCATTACTATTTTACGGTGTCTCAGAGTCAGGTAACCGACTCCTAAGGCAAGAGTAAATTTTCAACGGTTTCCAGTGATTCTGTGATGACAATCGCTCATCTCAACTTGTCAGTTAGTCATTCTAAGCAGATCCAGATTTCAGGTGATCTAATTGTGAAGAGATCAGTGGCCTAAGTAGGATTCAAAACCGTGTCCATGGACTGCATGTACTCTATCACTCCTGCTACGAGGCCATATTGAGAGCTTTGATATTTTCTCATTTTATCACTCAACAAACTTTTCATTGCTTGCTGCCTCACAGCTTAGCTGATAGAACATCTACTATATACAGGGAAGACGAAATCTGTGCGTAGGTTCAAATCCCCAAAAGACAACGTATGCTTTCAAAGTTCGGGGACCTTATCTCTCCCTCAGGAGTTTACCCAAGTAGCGTCACTAGGGCTGAATTAAATTAATTGTTCCAAATGTGAAATAAAGTGAGGGATATATTACTGTAGCTTAGTTGTCCGAACTGAATAGACCCATAGTTTTCCATCGAACTATTGGTTGTTCTCCGGATTTCTGTTACATACGAACACAGTGCATGGCCTCTTTTAACCAGTTTCGCTGTCTACTTGAAAGTATGTTGTTTCTCATGATTTGCGACACGAGCTCCTTTTGCCCCCTATCTGATTTCACACACATGTATAGATGGATCAAATTCGAAGAGGTTGTCGAAGAAAACGGGGAACGGTGGTCCAAACCACACGTGGCTACATTATCGTTGTACTCCCTATTTGAATTGCGCAACTGTCTAGCCAATGGTTTGATCATGCTCAATTTGGAAGCGTTTACCATGGAACAAATTGCAGGTAAAAATAACACTGTTTTGCCCTAAAAATTCCTTTGAAAAGCTGAAGAGACGGATGACGCATATTCGTTAATCCATTTTTTGTTAAATATCTTCTAATCTCTGACGTGAATCATGTGAATGTCATATTATTTAATGCAACCATTTCGTGCACTGCTGAAAAAATTCCTAGAGTAGGTGTTTGCAAATAAAGAACGGGACTATTGTAAGGCTCCTTTCGGGCAATGTGAACGCATTGTTTAAAGTTCAGGACACATTGGCATTCTGCCTTCAAACTATTTCAACTGCGCATCACTGGTTGATATTCTGAGCAACCGTTTTTGTTCTGTTCTATTAGCAAGGTGATAGCAGGTTTGCTGTGTCCGATTCAATACCACGCTTGACCTTTGGGGTTCGCCACTCCAAGTCCCAGGGCTCGGATTGCCATCTCTGAACAGCAGGTCTTCGTGACTCTGGGGTTTACTCCGTCTGTTGTTCATCATAATAGAGCGCGTACTAGGAGAAGAATGTTCTGTTTTTCCAGTTTCATGGGTTGGCAGATTTTAAGAAATTTCCATGTAATCTGATTGGAAAAAGATCAGCACTCGCGATAGGACTTGAACTTGCATATGAACATCACCCATGCCCGTCAAGCAGTACTCGGTAGGTCATGCTGGCAGCTCTGATCTTTTCAAAGAGATCTATGGACGCATCAGATAGCTTGTAAGTTGATTACGGTTGGCCCTCCTGAGAATTATTGAAATCCACCACACGAACTCTGAAGCTGAGTAAATTGTTTAAATTTTATTGTTTGGGAAATTTGAAGATATTTTTGCCGTAAGTATAATTCATTTTTCGCTTCCACCTTTAGGGAAAAGAATTGATTTTTCCGAACTTTTTTTATCGATTTTCATGCAAAGTAAATAGTCTACTCTATGACCATGACTGTCGTTATCACCATGGTGGACATAGAATACAACCGATTTTTCTTCTAATTGTGTCTGCACTCCCTAGTCCTCACTCTCTGATTCCAACCGAATTTTTCCGACTCCCCGTGCTGTTCCAATTAGATTTGGTACTCAACGTGCTTGTGTCTGATAATCGTCTTCCCGCTGAGATGCGTGAAAATGTGAACGAGATTTTGCTTCGTCGTCATGTGCACTTACATGAAAGACTTCGACCCAAACTAGGTGCACGTAGTGCCTCTAATTTGCCCATCATTCGTTCTCTGGCCGATATTGGTAAACGACATTCATCTAAAGATGTCGAAAAAGGTTGGTTATTTCTTTTCTTTCTATCGTTTGGATTTGTCATATTTTTCTTATCTTTATCCATTTGCAATGTTTGTTTGCGTAATCGTTTGGTGCTTGTGATTTCGATTACCGGTAGAAGGTTACAGACCATGCACTCTGTGTCTTTCCTCCATGGAATTCAAGCTACCCGAATGCACATAAGTTCGTCTTTCAGTCAGGCCTTCTCAAACCTTCTTTCGGCCCAATATCGTTTCCACCAGATTGAGAAAGGTCTAACATCATAGTGAGAATGGGATTTACGAAAAGGTTAGGAAGTTAGCTGTCCTCTATTGGGGGCCGATGTCCAGTTCGTCGT